CAGGATAACAATTTACTCCACTCTTTTCTTTCAAATTTCAGAATGTGAAATTGCAAATCCAAAATTTCTTGAACTTACTTTTTTGTGTTAGAAAGTGCATCTCTAATGTGCTTGTTTACTGGCATTGTCTCTAATGTAAATTTTCTGTCACTGGACCATTTCCATTTCCATAAAAAAATTTCCTGACAAATTTAGATAAGCTTTTTTCTATTTAACAAACACTAACATTTTATTTTATTTTATTTTTAATTATTTTTTTTTAATGTTTTATTTATTTCTAGGAGAGAGATAGAGACAGCATGAGCAGGGGAGGGTCAGAGAGAGAGGGAGTCACAGACTGAAACAGGCTCCAGGCTCTGAGCTGGCAGTCAGCACAGAGCCCGATGCGGGGCTCGAACCCACGAACCGCGAGATCATGACCCAAGTGAAAGTCGGACGCTTAACCGACTAAGCCACCCAGGCGCCCCTAACAAACACTAACATTTTAAAATCATGCTCATGTACCTATTTCACCCTTCTGTTGTCCTTTTACATTAGTTTGGTTTTGTTTCTGTTCACTCTGCAGAGATAAATATTTGAGTCAGTATACGAACATATACTGAGATATATATGAATCAGTAAGTCTCTATTTGCTAGTTTAAATTTTTTTCATTCTTCACTAATCAAATGTCTAAAAGGAAGTCTTTAAGCAAATTTTCTCAACAGTGTTGTTTAATGAAGCATAAGGATCTGTTTCAAAAAGTAAAAAATTGTGCTCAATGTTGCTTGTTTCTAGAGTATTTAGTCTTTCACTATTCCTAGGAATAAAAATATAAAATTTGTAAGGGGGAACTCCAGCTCTCAACAGTATTTTGTATCACTTCCCTGCTACTGGGATCTATTTGAGTCATTTTTGCTGTGACTTTTCTTTTCATTTGTGGACTTCTATCATTGAGCTAGGAGACACACTCCCTCCTATTTGTTTGTTATATAGAGCTCTGGTCCTCAAGTCCTATTCATGCTCCCAGCTCTATTTTACTACATTAGGAGGCCTAACATTCTAGGCTTCTATTTTTAATTTTTTTAATGTTTATTTATGAGAGACAGAGAGACAGAGAGAGAGACAGAGACAGAGAAAGAGGCAGAGAAAGAGATGGAGACACAGAATCCGAAGCAGGCTCCAGGCTCTGAACTGTCAGCACAGAGCCCAACACAGGCTCGAACTCACAAACTGCAAGATCATGACCTGAGCCAAAGTTGGACGCTTAACTGACTGAGCCACCCAGGTGCCCCCCAGCCTTCTATCAATCGTCACTTTACAAGCTATATTCTTCAGCAGTAGTTCCCAGTCCTGGCTAAAAATTAGCATCGTCTGTGGAGCTTTTACAAACAGATTTACCAGACATACTTGTGGGGATTCTGATTCAGGAAGTCTAGCACGGATCCAGAAATCCATGACACTAATTCACCAGGTGAGTGGCGCCTGGGTGGCTTCGGTTGGTTAACCTTCCGACTTCTGCTCAGGTCATGATCTCCCAGTACGTGAGTTTGAGCTCTGCGTCGGGATCTGTGCTTACAGCTCAGAACCTGGAGCCTGCCTCAGATTCTGTCTCCGTCTCTCTCTCTCTGCCCCTTCCCTGTTCACACGCTCTCTTTCTTTCTCAAAAATAAATAAATGTTTAAAAAATTTTTTTCAATAAAAATTTAAAAAATAAAAGTCACCAGGTGATTTAGAAACAGCTGGATTTAGGAACACTTAAGAGCCCTGGGATTTGAGGGGCAGGAGCTCAGGAGTGGAGGAGTAAGGAGATGGCCCAGTGCATGTGTTCTTGGTCTCCTACTTCTGCTTGAACTTCTCCAGCCCTCCTTTTTGTCTGTTTCTATAGTAGGGGCTGGATAAGATTTTGTTTGAAGAAAAAGCTTTGTCCTGTTTAAATAAAAAATTTGAAAGTCGCTGCTCTGTTTAAGATCAAATGCTTTTAATCAATGAATATGAAGAACTGTGAAAGCATTCTATAATACATCACACGTAAAGGTTAAAGTCTGTTAGAATCTTTATAGTCTTTAAGATCCTTAGAATCTTTAGAATGTAAGTTCAGTTAGTGCAGAGAATAAATCCTATTTTATTTCACTGTGGCTCCTCTTCCTCAGCACTATTCTATCAGTGCCAAGATGTAGAACACCCTTGAGAGGAATGTATTGATAAAGACTTCATCCCTATGATCTCCAAACAGCATACGATCTGTCTACTTTCTGAACCCATTATCTACAACTCCTCCCCTCACAGACCTCACTCCAGGCACCCTCGCCTCCTTCCTGCTCCCTGAACAACCCAAGCATGCTCCCACCTGGGTTTTTGCAGGTATTCTCTCTGATTTACATATTCTTCCTACACAGAACTGCATAGTCCGCCTGCTGCCATCAGGTCTCCGATTAAGTGCCTTTTCAGAGTGGATTTCACCAACCACCTCCCACCCCATCCAAAATGGCATCGTCCCCCATGTCATTGCATTTGCTTTCCTGCTTTCCTGTTCTTTCACTTCTGTAGTACTTATTATCCCAGGACATGTTATGTGTTTCCAAATTTGCTAAGTATCTCTCTTCTTGCACAACCAGAATATAACCTCCAAAAGAGCAGAGATTTTTGTCTGCTTGTCTCACTCTGTAATCTCTGGGCGAGGACAGGGCCTGGCACACCATGGTAGCTCAGAAATTTTGGGATGAAATAAAGGTCTCTTCAATAAATAAATCTGCAGAAAGTCAAGATACAGCTTTATGTTATGGAGAGATTGACTCATTTATGAAATGGGATGGTATCTGGATGTTTCTTTATAATGACAGTATAACTCTATGATTTTACATGTCATCCTGTGACTCTGACCAGTTTTATATAAAGTGAAAAAAGCATGGACTGACTTATTTACAGAAATGTGCATGATTTCTACTCTAACCTTAGCTTCCTCTCTTCCCTATGTGGCCATGTCCACTAGCACTTCATTACAGACGACTTCTACATTCTGTGTATTGGGCCTAGGCTCTCACCTACATTTAGTACCACATCTTCCAATATATGCAATTACCTGCACTTGGATAGCCTGTCATAGTTTGAACTATAAATGCCTTCAAGTGAGTTATCCAGCTTCCTTAGAAACTGACTTCCTTCCCTAATTATCCCATTTCTGTTAGTAAAACAATCATTCTTCTTTTAGCACCTTCAGGAGGCAGGTTTGACATGTGTCTGTCCCCTGTCCTCCACACCAAATCCATCATCAAGTTCTGCCATTTCTTTCTTTAAAAATGTCTCTCTGATGCTCCCACTTCTTAGTATATGGCCTATTTATTTCTCACCCCATATCTTGCTCATGTTTTTACACTTTCTTTACATTTATTTTCCCTCCTTCCCCAAAAATCCAACTTTGTGGATCTTTACTAAAGTCACCCTTTTGATTTTTCTTCCTTGGCTACCTGGTAACAATTTCACAGCTTGGCAATTACCTCTTTAACTGTCTCATTATGCCAATTTTATTTTCTCAGCTGGATTGAATGGCTTACAGAGTCAGGAAAAATATATATTTTTATTAGTTTTCCTAGTACATGGCATTGTGGTTGACACAGAGAAAACACAACTGAGGAAAACGTTTTTATTTCCCTGAGTATTTAATATATGCATATAAATCTTTTTCCCTAAACTAATAAGAAAACGAGGGAAAGTACTGTCATTAGACACTGAAGAGTTAACTACGTTCAATTTGACAAAATTTGTGAAGTTACTGGTCATTTTCATATTAGCATGTAAAAAGTGAGGGGGTGCCTAGAGGGCTCAGTCAGTTAAGCGTCCAACTTCAGCTTAGGCCATGATCTCATGGTTCATAAGTTCAGACCCTGCATCGGGCTCTGTGCTGACAGCTCAGAGCCTGGTGCCTGCTTCAGATGCTTTGTCTCCCTCTTTCTCTGCCCCTTCCCTGCTCATGCTCTATCTCTCAAAAATAAATAAACGTTAAAAACATTTTTTTAAAGTGAAATACATTAAGAAGTCATATGCATACAACCTTAAAACTCTAAGAGGCTACTAAGATGTTTAAATATCATTGAAGCTGGCTGATGGGTGATGCTTATTATATTATTCGCTGTACTTGTGTGTTTGCATTTTTCTATCACAAAATGTATTTTTTAAATTTCTTTTTAAGTTTATTTTTGAGAGAGCACGAGCAAGCAGGGGAGGGGCAGAGAGGAAGACAGAGGATCTGAAGCAGGCTCTGTGCTGAAGCAGCAAGCCTGATGTGGGGCTCGAACTCTCAAACTGTGAGATCATGACCTGAGCTGAAATCAAGAGTTGGACGCTTAACCAACTCAGACACCCAGGCACCCCTCTATCATAAAATGTTAAAGGAGGGGTAAGGGGTGCACTACAAAAAAACCAGGAATACATGTATTAATTAACCTATAATTCACTATATGGACTATAGAAAAAAAATAGATCAACAATGCTAACTATTAGTATAAAAAAATAAACTATATGGGGTGCCTGGGTGGCTCGGTTGGTTAAGCATCTGACTTCAGCTCAGGTCATGATCTCGTAGTTTGTGAGTTCGAGCCCTGCATGGGGCTCTGTGCTGACAGCTCAGAGCCTGGAGCCTGCTTCTGATTCTGTGTTTCCCTCTCTCTCTGCTCTTACCCTGTTCACTCTCTGTCTCTCTCCCTTAAAATTAAATAAACATAAAAAAAATTTTTTTAGAAAATAAAAATAAACTGTAGCACAAGCACATTACGCAATATTCTCAACTATCTGTATCTTGCTCTGTAATGGAAATCTACTTACTCTATGGAACAGGCACAGTTCTTACCACTTCTGTATTTATACAACTTTCCCTATTGAAAATGACAGTGAATTTGAAAGTATTAGTAAAGCTCTAATTTTTAATTCCATCTGTTTATAAGGTCAGAAATAGAACATTTCAGAATTGAAATCCCCAAAGTCAGAAAAATTACATAAAAGAAAATAGCATGAATTCAAAACTTACAGTTTTAACATCATTTTCATGATGAAAGATATACTCAAACAAAGCCTATAAAGAAGAAAAAAAAAGGCCAAAAATACATTAGATTTTATTTTACCAAAAGCACTCTATTGTTATATCCAAACTCAGACCATTCTGACAGCAGCTGGATTGAAACAAAATAACAAGGTACACTAAAAGTGCCTTCATCAGTAAAGGGTCTACCCATTATTTGTTGTAATCACCATTTTAAAATACGCCAATTTATACCTGATTCCTGTTTTTACAAAACACAAACTGGAAAACTCAAATAACTGAGCAAGTTTTTCATATTATACACATTATTTTACTACAAAGAGAGAGAGGAAAAGGCCAACTCTGAGATTATCCTCAAACAGATTCAGCCCATTTTTTATACACTCTACACATATTATACATTCATTATGTTTTGATAATGACACTTTAGACATGAAAATCTGGAAGTTCCTTCTGAAACAAAGTAGATCTTAAGTGTAAAGTGGGAGGTGTACATGACTGTTAATGTGCAGGTAGGTCTGAGAACCATTATGTTAAAACGTGCCCCAACTCATCTGGATAAATGAGCATTTACCGAATTACCTCTTGGTGGTATCATGTTTGTCCATAAAACCATTACTGTACCTTGCAAAGAGGCTAGCATATCAAGGTTATTAACAGAGAAGTCTTAAGAGGCAACCAAAGAAAGAAAAGAGAAACCGGGATAAGGCCCTTCTTTTAAAAACTATACTTGGCCCTCCATTCACTTGGTGATAAAGGAGAAAAGTTAAGAGTAGAGCCGGTGCTCCCATTGCTGTGAAAGGAGTTACTGTAGAGAACTCAAGCGATCAATACTAGAAATGAGTCCTGATGAGTAAAGGTGAACTGGAAACCAAAGACAGAAAAACCTGGCATTATTTCTATAACATGCAAAAAAAAAAAAAAAGGGGGGGGGGAGGGCACAAAATCTGGTTCAGTTTAAATCTAGTAACACAGACCAGGTCTGTCCTGGAAGCATGATAGTTTGATGGAGATGCCTCCATGGGCTGCACTCCCTGAAGAGAAAACAGCAATGGGACCAGACAGCCACCTCAAGTAAATGCAAAAATGGCAAGGGAACCAGATACTCCACATGAGCTGCTGTTAATATTTCACTCTTCTGAAGGTAAGGGAAATACATATACCTTTACAATTTTGCTAAATGAAGTTGGCCTGATTGCTGTCAAGTAAGAAATTAAGAAAAAAGTCATGGGCATTATTATAGGCTAATTCCCAATCAACTGACATTTCTCTTTCAGATTTTAATTTCAAGTCTGTATGGCTAGTGTCTGTTCTTATATTCCCTAGTGTTTGACATTTAGTAAGCATGTTAAATGCCATTAGGACTCAGATTCAGAATGAGCTCAGCACTCAAGCACAGAATTCACAGACATTACAGCTGAAAACTTGGGCTAGGTTTAGATCAGTTTCAGCAATAGCTAAGTGCTCATGTCTCTGAATTATTCCAAGCTCAATTTCAAGATTATTTTTACACTGGAAAGGTCACAGGCCCCACCTTTCCCTGTCAAGTCTCTTTCTCTTTTTCTCACTCTCACATACACACACTTACTTTCATTCCCCCTTTCTCCTTAATTTAAAGGAGCGTCTAATCTTTGAGTAGTTAGAGTTACTAAGGTAATTAATTCTCAATAAGGATCACTCAGGCCAGATAGTGGCTTATGGAGATACCTGCCTAAGGACTAATTAAAAGTACATATTTTTTCATCTTCCTTTTGACAGTCATAAAATTCTACAAGGATAGAAAATTATTTTTCTGGGAATAGTCCAAGAGGGAAAACACACACACACACACACACACACACACACACACACACACACACACAGATGACCTTCTAAGTTTCATTCCACAAAGATGCTGCTGCCTGTCTGCTTTGTTTGTTATCAGTTATTATAATTTGTTACAAGTGACTACAATGTCCTATACAGTGGTATTGCATACTTTATTTCTGATTGACTTTCCTTAACTCAAAAGACTAAGAGAAATTTTACACAGTAATCAAACATTTCCATTTCAAGCAAGACATGGCTTTTCCTTCACACACACATAAAAAAAAATCCTACAATGTTATCAGGATAATACATCTAACATCACTACTTCATAACATAAAATTATTTTAAGTACATACCTTCGCCAATTTAGGTTTCTGGGCATATTTCGTTAAATTCAGTCTAGATAAATTTATAAAAGGTCCATCAGGACTTGTAAGCATGGAAGCCTGGGGGAAAAAATGACAGAACAAGAAATCTGAAACCTCCTCTTCAAATATAAATTGAGTGTAATGAGCATAATAAGTAAAAAGCACCACTTTCCAAAAATCTGCCATGTGCGTTTCCACCATAACAACAGCAAAAAAGATATAAGGTAACATAAACCTACTCTGGTCATACAGAACTAGGGGGAAGCTGACAGAATTTACCGTTCCCAGCCTGACAAATCTCCCAGAGGAGCTGGTGACCGGGCGAGCTGTGTAGGTGGTTCTGGGTGTTTTGATGGCCTGTTCCATACTGCCAGGCCTTCCACTCTGCGTGCTCGGTCTGAGGAAACCTGTAATGGGCCTTCCAGCTTGAGTGATTGGCCTGTGAAGAGTGCACGTTGTGAAAATACCAAGAAGATCAATAAGGGAAGATTCTCATACAATCTGGTCAGTATTTAATGGCAGAAGGTATGAAACAGAAGTGCATACCTGATGGCTGGACTAGGCCCTCCCGTCTGATTAGTTCCAGGCAGTTTCAAAGAAGTGCCAGGGCCTACGAGATGAGATGGCAAATTCAATTTATATATTACTATTAATCTGCAAAAACTGCCAGCTATTGTAATTTTCAGAAATGTGCTGGCCTGGTGAAAAAGACATTAATAACAGGAAACATATTAGGGAAATGTGTCTGAGACTGATATTTATTGAATATCATGTTACTTTATGTTCTCACATTTAATCTTCCCACTAAGTCTGTAAGTCGTATTCACCCATTTAGCAAAAGCTTAGAGGGTTCAGTAAACAGGTCAGCCTATTAACAAAGCTGGGTTTCAAACTCAAGGCTAGCAGGCCCCAGAGCACCAAAATATGGTTCTATGCTCATATTTATTTCTGATACAAACTGTTCCCAACAAAGATCATTTACCCACAATATACAGAATTTAGACCTTTTTTTTATAGTTTATTTATTTTTGAGACAGATCACTTCTTGGCCTTTTGGCTAAGATCAAGTGTATTTTTGAGACAGAGACAGAGCGTGAGCAGGGGAGGGGCAGAGAGAGAGGGAGACACAGAATCTGAAACAGGCTCCAGTCTCTGAGCTGCCAGCACAGAGCCCGATGCAGGGTTCGAACCCATGAACCGTGAGATCTTGCTCTGAGCCGAAGTTCGACACTTAACCGACTGAGCTACCCAGGCACCTCGAGAATTTAGGCATTTTAACTCCAAAAGAACAAAATGATGGGGGAAAAAAGACACTTCAGCATGAACCATATGTACTTTTTTCCCCCTCAATTTCCATTTGAAGCTTTAAACAGTTATTATCTTCAGGCACCTGGGTGGCTCAGTCGGTTAAGCATTCAGCTTCAGCTGAGGTCATGATCTCGAGGTTCGTGAGTTCAACCCCGCAACGGGCCCTGTGCTGACAGCTCAGAGCCTGGAGCCTGCTTTGGATTCTGTGTCTCCCTTTCTCTTTGCCCCTCCCCCACTTGCACTCTGTCTCTCTCAAAAATAAACATAAAATATCTTTAATTTATTATTTTTCAAAACATATAAATGACTGATAACAGTTGTAACTAATAAATAGCAGCAAGACCACCATACATCGCGGTAATCACTAAATACCATTTGCTCCAACACATCTACAAGCTGGGGACGGGGCCGCTGTCGCAATCCCCACAGGCATCACAGGCCAGCGCACCACCCCATCACCTCATATCCTGCATTAGAGCAAATCACCTTCAATTATTACAGTGAAGTGATGTTGTCCAAAGACCTTTTTTTTTAAAATCCTTTTAGAACACTTCTGTCATTTGGATGCTTCCTGTGTTTCGACTCTTGGATAAATAATTTTCTGACAGATAAGCAGTTCAGTTAGAATGCATTTTAAATATAAAATTTTTTTAAATGGATAATATAGCTTTTATTGAAAAATTGTTTTATACAGCAATCTCACATCTTAAGTTTAAGATCGTGTAATTGAATTGTGGAAGGAAAGTCTTTGTACTATATGGCAGGATGGAGACCATTAACCTGATACAATGCTTTTTCATGTATATAATGTCTTGTGTTTATTTTATACACATGTGGTATTCTTCCGCCTAATGGCATTTCATTTACTTAAGTGAAAAACCAATACTTACGTGGAACTTGAGCAATAGCATTTTCATCCAGCATTATTTCTGCAATTCCTTCCTGACCTACGTCAATTTCATCTACGTATACCATTTCAGTGAGTGCCCGTGCCTTCAGAATCCAAGCTGCCTATAAGCATGGATAAAATAAAGCATCCATTAAGTAGTATTAGAAGTACTGCCTAGCCTATAGAAGCTTTATTATTGTCTAACTTTTTATTAGGCATGTTTACCGTGTTATACATTATGCTAATTTAAAGGGCTATTTCAAGAAACTAATACAAGGCAAGGTCATTACTAATCAAGAAACGCCCATTAGATCAATTACCTAGTAAATAAAAGTGTGGTAATTACTTAATAGTCTTCTAACATGCCTCTTTATAAGTAAAAGAAGAGCTTCAGAGAAAATTTTACTGGAATAATAATTTGAAAAAAATTAATAAAGCTCTGACCACAGTGCTCTTTCTGCCTTCCTCCTTCAGGACCAAAAGTCCCTCATAAAGACCTCACTGATGGTTTAGTTCTCAACTTACTTCCCTCTTGTCTTTCTCACAGAGCATTCTCTTTACACTTCCATTGTATGTACTCACCATATTCGAGAAACACTGTAATTATTAGGCATAGGTTAGCTCCCTTCCCCAGAACACAAGCCTTTTTACCTGTTCAGTTCTGAATTCTCCACAACACCTATGGTTTTTGCACATAATAGGTATTCCAAAAATGTTGAACTGAACTAAGATCAATTTCTTCCAGTTCCCAATAAGCTAATCAACAGTCTTGGCTGCTTTGTGATCCAGCCAGTAGAAAATCTTCTAGAAAGTGGGGGGGTGGGGGGGGTGGAAAAAGTAAAAAATTAAGGAATCTGGAAAATAGCAGCTTCGCTCTACCTTAAGAAATTAGATGTCAAGGTGTGCACCATTAAACATTTAAACATTTAAAACGGCTTTATCAGAAATGTTTACCTTTCTGCTTCACTACAGAACAGAAGCAGAGAACAAGAAAGCCCGGTGTGCTGTGGAGGATTTGAGGAGAAGGTGACTCGAGCAGCAGCACAGACCTGACAACCTCTAGTGCAGAGGAAGCAGCCGCGGGGGAAGCTTAGGGAGAGGGGTGCAATGAGGAAGAGCTCACCATACTCCATACTATGGAAGTGGCTGTGAAGCAGGCAGAAGGAGGGCAAAGACACTGAGAGAGGAACAGAAGAGAGAGCGACAGAGTTCCAAAAAGTCTTCTTGTAAAGAACCCAAGATACAACTTCCTAGTTACATAGTATTGGGCTAGGTTCTTAAAAGGAAGCATGAGAAGATTAAAAACTTGGATTCTAATTTCTCTGAACATAATACCTACTGAATTAAATGACAGGGCAAAGCAGGGCATGATAGGTGGCAGGTGTGTGGTATAGAAAATAGTTTTATAGGAATTAAAGAGTAGAGATCCTTTTGTGGGCTAAAATAATTGGAATGCAGGGGCGCCTGGGTGGCTCAGTGGGTTAATCATCTGACTTCGGCTCAGGTCTTGATCTCGCGGTTCATGGGTTTGAGCCCCATGTCGGGCTCTGTGCTGACTGCCAGCTCAGAGCCTGGAGCCTGTTTCAGATTCTGTATCTGTCCTCTCTCTCTGACCCTCCCCTGCTCACGCTCACTCGCGCTCTCTCTCAGAAATAAATAAAAAATATTAAATTTTTTCTTAAAAAATAGCTTGAATGCATACATTAGACAAAAGTTCTTAAGGAAAAAAGAAAATCTTCATGCTTTCACTTTAATGGGAATAAAGAAGGCTGCCTTCATAGCCATAGATTCCTAAAATGAAATTATATTTGGTTAGATAATGGGATTTTTTTTAGCTTCTACTTTCCTGGGTGAGGTTTACTGGATTCAGATAACTTAAAATGTTTCAACTGTGTGGATTTAACACAATTGAATAAGCAGAATGTGGAATCAAAGAATTCATTTGTTAAAAAAAAAACAAACAATTCCAATCGGAGCTGCATCTAACTGTGGGAGGCACTAAAGTGTGGAAACAATTCGAGGTTTGCATTCATCAAAGATCAGGAAGGTTGGCAGAGCTATATAACTATGCTCAGGGGGTCAGGGAAGTCATCACTGGCTTGAACTCACGGTTTAATTTAACTTCAAAGATGGAAATAAGTAATCCTGATTTATCTTGAGTCCCCACAGCTCCTACTGCCCTGCAAGGATCTGACAGCTTTCATTTCTCAAAAGGGCATTCCTGTTCAGCACTCTGGTGGACAGGAAGGACTGCAGCATTTTCTCTGAAGCAGTAAAGCACGATGTGGGCTCCGCTGGTTCATTCCCATGTTACTAGGGAGCGCCTACGGCATGCCAGGTCCTGGGGATAAAGATGAGTAAGCCACAGCTCAGCTAGCTCACATGAATTTCAATGTTTTAGGGAAAGCATAGTAATCAAAGTCTGGAGCATGCTACGGGGGGTACAGAGAGAGGCACCCAGCTGCCTGGAGGTGGAGGAAGGGTAGGAGAAAAGACTTTGCCAGTGGCATAGACGGGAGAGCGTGCACGAGGCAAAGAACGGGACAAGGGTAGGCTAGCTTCAGGGCTCATTGCATGCTTGGTAACGCCAAAACAGTTGAGTGTGGATGAAGAATCAGGTTCAGCTGAGGCAAAGAAGAAGCTAGAGAAAAAGGCAAAGGGCAGATGAGGGACCCTGTATGCCGCAGTGAAGTGTATGGACTCTTATCCTGATGAGGAGGAGCTAATGAAACTTTAAAACTACAACTTGGAATCCTAGTTAAATCCACCTTCTACAAGTCAACTTTCTATTATTGTTGCATCATTTATATGGTTGGGTATTAATTATCCCTGCACATATCTTTTTAACAATTAGCAGGTTCATGCTGTTATGTCATAATTAACTCCATCATTCTTCCTGACATCCAACCTCCTACTAAACTCTCAAAAAATTTTTTTTTCCTGAAAGAGACAGCATGAGCAGAGGAGGGTCGGAGAGAGAGGGAGACACAGAATTTGAAGCAGGCTCCAGGCTCTGAGTTAGCTGTCAGCACAGAGCCCAATGCGGGGCTCAAACCCACAAACTGTGAGATCATGACCTGAGCCAAAGTCAGACACTTAACCAGCTGAGGCACCCTGGTGCCCCATAACCTCTCAAATATTAAGGAGGTGCAAATTTTTTAAATATTAGTAAGTAAAATAAAGTAAATCTACTTTTCCCTCACCACCAAATGAATAAATGTTTCAGAAGCCAAACAGTAACATCTTTTTTAAAAGGTTATTCCAGGGGCGCCTGGGTGGCTTAGTCGGTTAAGCGTCCGACTTTCGCTTAGGTCATGATCTCGCGGTTGTGGGTTTGAGCCCCGCGTCGGGCTCTGTGCTGACTGCCAGCTCAGAGCCTGGAGCCTCTTTCGGTCTGTGACTCCCTCTCTCTCTGACCCTCCCCTGCTCACGCTGTCTCTCTCTCTCTCCTAGAAATAAATAAAACATAAAAATTAAAAAAAATAAAATAAATAAAAGGTTATTCCATAAGATTTCACTTTTTCAAAAAGGTAAATGGATCTATATTTCAGTTTCTAAAATTTAATTCTTCAGAAGTATAAATAATGGTGGGAATCCTTTATATTTAAAGATCTATGATAAAAGCTACTTAAACCATTACTTAATTTTAAATTTCATCATTTTTGAGAATATTAACCTGCCTTTCTTTCTGTCCTAACAAAAATGACCTTGAAAATCACATACCACTGCTTGACTAAACATCAGATTGTATTCAAAGAAGTGCTCTTGGCACTGTGAACAATTCTTGGGATTTAAATGAAAATAGCAGATGGGGCTTTGGTTTTAAAAAATTTTTTTAATTTTATTTTGGAAACAAGCCAAATATGTTTCACAGCCCTAAAATCTTCTGTTTAAATTAAAATAAAAAAGTTCAAAACTAATCAGTGATGAAAACAAAATGTATAACAAAGCACAATGGGGTAATCCCAAACTGGTCCTCGAATCTGAATAAAAATATAAATTGGTTTTATCAGATATGTTTAAGTTGTTACTAAATGACAGGGTCATGCTGTTTATATAAATATCTATGAATGCCTATGGATTGGAACGTGCTGTGAAATCCACAAAAATCACAGAAATGCAGGAACTTTTTAAAGGGAAAAGCATGCAAGTGAGTAATCATCATGTCAATTACATCACTCTTTATCTGCAGAACATCATCCCACCTCATTCACCTGCTGAGGTAGTCTAGAGACATTATTCTTGAGGCAATGATGAAAGGAAAGGAAAATAAAGCCTTGCTCGTACTACCTTTGGTGAGTTTGATTCACTTTTAGTTATAAAAATAAACCTACGAAAAGCAAAAAAACTCTACTGAGTAAACCATGTTGAAATTGTTTTGTTCGTTTTAATACAGAATTGGAGGCCAGGAGTTTAAGACATAATAGAAAGAATTTCGCTAGGTTATTACTAAACGAAAGCTACCAAGGAAAAGTCTGCCTAACCTGATTGAGCCGTCATAAGAATCAGTGTAACATCTGACACTCTGCCTGCTCTAGGAAAATGAAAACTTAGCACAAAATATTGAATTGTTATTGTAAAGCTTCATTTATTTTGAAGTTGTGCAAGAGGGGATGGCAAAATGTATGAATAATGAGCTCAAAAGAATCCCATCAGCCTTGTTCAGTTTTTATTCTTTTAGATCACTATCCACTGGATAGATAATTAAGTCTGCAGTAAAAGAACAGGAAAGTAATACTAAACACAGGTCCTTCATGAAGTCCCTGTGCAGGTTTGAAACTTTCAAATACTGGGTCGCCTGGGTGGCTCAGTCGGTTAAGCGTCCGGCTTCAGCTCAGGTCATGATCTCACTCTTCATGGGTTTGAGTCTTGCATCGGGCTCTGCTGACAACTAGCTCAGAGCCTGGAGGCTGTTTTGGATTCTGTGTCTCCCTCTCTCTCTCTGACCCTTCCTTGCTCACACTATCTCTCTCTCTCTCTCTCAGAAATAAATAAAAAACATTTTAAAAAATTAAAAAAAAAAGAAACTTTCAAATACCATTTACAGTTTTAAAACCGTAACAACAATGCAAATTACTGATGTTTTAATTTAATTTTAACAAAACCGGGGTGCCTGGGAGGC